ATAAAATATTACTCAGAATTCTAGAATATGAAGTAAACACCAAAGGAGCAGCCAAAAAACACCTATAGAAAGACTTTACTCAAAATATTAAAAATAGAATCAAAAAGATTGTAGCCAGAAATCCCTTCTTTAAAAAGAAAATTTTGCTAGCAAAAGTTTTGTTTATCTCAAAAATTTGATATTTAGCTTACTTTTTTTTACTAAAAAGAAAGCAATTAAACAAAATTAATAATCTTATTTCACAATAGATCAAGAACAAATCCAAGTTATTATTCAGATACTTACCGTATATTGCTGAAAATAAGCTACTTTTTTGTCAAGAAAAATTATACTAAAATAGTATAAATAGCTTATTATTGGGTAATAATAATTTTTTGTCATTTACAAATAATTTTACTAAGTAAATTGACTTATCTTATTAAATAAAAGTTGTTCAAGAAATCAAAATACATTTATCTTGAAAATTTCATATAAATCAGAGAACATTTTATTAATTGACTTTTGATTTTTATGTTCAACAAATATAAACTTTAAAGAAATTTTTAAATTTTTGTTGAAATGTAATATGCAAAAGTCAATTAATAAAATATTCTCCAATTTATATAAAATTTTTAGAATATATGCATTTTAATCTTCTGAATAACTTTTACTTAATAAGGTAGATTGATTTACTTAGTAAAATTTTGACTTTACTATGTAGCAATGATAATCAATTATGTTGATAGCTTATTTTCAGAACTAAGTTGTTTCTTATGTTTTCTCTCCAAGAAAAAAATGAGTAGCTTCTTTCGGAGATAGCTTATTTTGGGAGATATATGGTAATATTTCAACTAGACTATAATAGAAAAGTGTTAGATGCTCTAGTTCTTAAAGATATTCTTGACTCTAGACTAATATCTGTCTAGATTAAACTAGTAACTACAGATAATATATGGGCTAAAATTGAAAAAAAGATAATCTCTCAAAGACTTCAAAACAAAAGAAATATTTTTGTAATAATAGCATTAACAAAATCTTTAATCAAGCTTAAAGGATAGTTTGATAACTGGAAACTATACTTAGTGATCTAGAAAAGATTTAAAAAAACTATAATAGTTACAAATATATGATCATAAAATATTACTCAGCTAAAGATTCATGAATAATCAGACAACAACTTTATAGTAAAGAAAGCAACAAACTATCTGAAACAATATTCAGTATAACTAACAGTTACACAAGTACTAACAAATATTCAAAAAGAACTCTCTAAGCATTTTTAATGGGTTATTAGTAAAGGAATTCTAAATAAAAGAAAAGATATCTTTTAAAAATTACAGAATCAAGCTCTTCCATTAAAATACTAGCTAATGTATATTAACAGAGAGATAAATAGAAGCTACCCAACTGTTTATATAAAAGACAAACAATCAAACATTTTACAATAGATTGTGAAATCAGCCAAGCAATTTGAAATAAAGGATATAAATTTTTTAAGAACCCAGAAGAGAAAACCCTTTTTCTAATATTAGAAGAGGTCTTTATAGCTTCAAATATCTGAAACCAAAAGAAAAAAACAATAATGATATGACTTCATATTATAATTATTTATGAAATTTGATTATGATATACACAAGCCAGGTGGGATAACAACATTTCAGAAAATATAATCAGTTGTATTATAATGTTTAAATTCAGAAAAGTCTCAGGGTCTTAAACAAGATATAGAAGAACAAAACAAAAAAAAAACTAACTAGTTTTTTAAACATTAATATATAATTATAAATAAATAAATTTTATTACTTTTAATTATAGTATCTATTAAATAAAGTATATCAATTTGTGTTTTAAAAAAATATATATATATTGTTTAAAATATTCTTTTTTTTTTTTTAGTACAAAAAGTCCTGTTTTTTATATTAGTTATTGAGAAAATTGTTATTTTTTGTTTTTGATTATTTGTAAATTGTAGATTAGTAAAAAAAGTTTTTAAAAATAGCTAAGCCTAAAGTTACTATATAATCAAAATTTAACATTTAATATATAAAAAATTGTTTTTATAAATTTTTAACCAATCAGAATCTTGTTAAACAAAAAATAACCAATCAGATTTAAGTATAAATCTCGAAATTTGATGCTTTTAAAAAAAAATTAAATGTTTCTTGCTGTCTAATACTATAGTTTTATTTTTTTAAAAAAATACTTTAAACTATATAAATAATATAAAATTAAACATACGAAAGTCTTCTTATAGTTACTTTTGATTAAGCAAAATTATCTTCCCAATATTTTTTTCTTTTTTACTTGTTTTGCAAGTTTATCAAATTTTGACAATCCAATTAGCTATTATATAATCTGCTTGGCTTTTACTTATTTGCATAAATAACACAAACCAAAAAAAGAATCAAATTTTGTAAATAAACCAAGTGCATAAAAATAAAAGTTTAGAATTAAGACATTAGGGTTGTAAGCTTTAGTGATAAGTTGGAGTTTTTTATATATAAAATTTCATCCCCATTATTTTTTGTTATGGCTGATGCTGAATTTGGCTAATGCTGAATATCACATGAAAATTTGGGCCAGAAATTGCAGATCGCATGTCGATTATAAAAATTCAAAACAAACGTCTCTGTCAAAAATCGCTGATTTCTCAAAATCTTAATAAAAAACAACACTTTGTATACTAACAAAAAGTTTTCCTTGAGCGATTTACTGTATAACCTTCTAAACTCTAACATTAATATAGACGATAACCCTAACACAAACGAACTTGAAGAACTTTGTCGTTGGTTAGGGTTTGTTTTGATTTTTCCCTGATCGACATGCGATCTGCAATTTCTGGCCCGAATTTTCACGTGATATTCAACATCAGCCAAATTCAGCATCAGCCGTGACATTTTTTATTAGTCAACCAAGGTCGATTTAAACACTAGTCTTTTCTTTTTTTTCTTTCGCACGTGTTCGGATTCTGATCCGGAATACCCGTTCTCTGATTGGCCATTTCCTTTTTAGAGGTTTGTATTACCCGCACAAATAAGTGGACAAACGTCTAAAGACTAGTCTACCTTCAAGTTAAAATATCTCGATAAATTATTATATTAATGTAGGGTAAAAAATGAAAATATACAAATAGGAACTGACACTTTATTTTGAATCAAAAATCTCGAAATTGATAAAAAAGTGTCAGACATGGGTTTTCCTAGTCCATGATCTATATACTACAGCAAAATTATCAATTTTATTAGTAAGATTTTGGGAAATTTTGGGAGAAATTTATCAGTTCCGGTCTATTCCGACCCTAAATTTTTGTCGGTCTGCTGAACTTTGGTTGCTCCACTGATCTATCCATTTAATGTTACTATCTAAACGATGATCGGCAAAAAATCCGAATATCGAACACTTCTAATGCAATTTTAAATAAAATTTCTGGCTATTTGAGAACATGCTGTAAACATATTCTCTTTTTAAGCATTATATCATTTTGCAGCCATTTGTATACAAATTTTAATTTAAACAATAAATTAAACAGAACCTTTTGTTAGTATATAGAAATACATAGATGCAATCTTAATATTTATAGTAATAATTTTCATTTTATGGCAGAGACTTGCTTATACCACTCTTTCTTGAATATTCCGCTGCTAACGTCTCCATCCAATCCGCTAAACCGTCCGATTCATCATTTGAATAACGAACCAAGAATGGTAATGCTGGTTGTGGTACATACGTGATAGTCGACCCATAATAGGCAATGTTAGGTAAATCATTTTTATACATTATAGATCCATATCTTAAAACAGTATAAGGGTCTAAAGTTTTAACCTATATCGATATACGTATATAAAAATTGTTTTTCGGAAATTTGTATCAATGACGTATTTTTGGTACGTACATATATGAGTGCTGCAGAAGGAAAACCTGTAAGTAACGAATCTAAATTTTCACTAAATTTTTTGAGTTTAAGTTCGGTATAGTGAAAACTAAATTCGTACTTACAGGTTTTCCCTTTGCAGCACTCATATGTTACGATGATCTTATATGAAAACGGCCAGCATCGTACTTACCCTTAATATTTGAAAGTCTTTCAAGGATGGTTACAACTTGCGTTGTTTCAGGCCTATGAGGCCGATGCCACGCCCACATTTTACGTACCAATTTGTTGAAAATATGATATTCATCGTCATAAGGTAATCCATCTCGCCCCTTTTGATCAACTACATATTGCTTAAGCAATCTATCTGGTACATGTGCGTGTGGTAAGGTTCCTCGACCATCAGTAATTTCCCAGAACAATATGGCCATGCTATAAATATCAGATTTAAAATCCAATTTACTCTGTGGTGGATTTAGTAACTGCTGTGGCTCCATCCATCGATTACGTAAACTGTGTTTATAGTTTGCGGGAGGAGATACTAATGTATGTTCGCCATCAAGTTTTCTACTCCAAAGAAAATTTGAAAGTTTAGGCTTCTTATCAGAAGTCAAGAGCACATTATGGCTACGAATGTCCAAGTGTATGATTCCGTTCTAAAAAAAAAAAAAAAATCGTAATTAAATTTAAGAATATATAGTTTAGAATATAATATTTACAACCTACTTCGTGTAAAAAGCTTACAGCTTTAGCAATATCTAAAGCCAAGCCAATTTTAAACTGCCAACTCATTCCCTTTTTATCCACGGTCTTATATGTTTTCATATACTGATACAAATTTCCATCCTGTGCCCACTCCATCAATAAACATGGTGTATTACTTTTCACAGTCACACCAAAGAACCCAATTATATGGTTACAGGGAACTAGGTATCGTTTGAACAAATATATTTCTTTCTCCACACTATAAAGCATATTCAAATTTATGGCGTTCTTGAGCAGACGTTTCTCTGCTACCATGTTGCTATCGGTTTTACTTTTTACTACACAGAAGGTGGAACCATGCCTTTTATTAACGTTTGAAAGCTCTTTAATTTTACTTGTGGGTACGTAAGATTCACGCAAGAGTGTAGTTGAAAGACAATGGTCTTTGATTTGTTTGATATATAATTCATAAAGTTCATTTATACGAGTAATCCACATGGCAAACTTATCATCTTCATACCTTAGAAAAGAATCATCATATGATACTCTGGATCCTTTGAACCCAGGAAGAATAATATTCGCGGATTTATCGATCAATGCTGCCATCAATTTTATCATATTCACCTTGTACTCTTCCTTTAATCTTTATATAATTATGAACATTAGCATGATAAATGTTAATAAGTGTCAAACGATTGTGTTGAACATTAAATGTCGGGGATGATGCTGAAATCAGATGATGACTTATTTTATTATGAAAAATTAAAAATTTTTTGGGGGTGTTTGTTCAGCTTTTTTTTCATAGTTCGATTAGAAGTTAGGGTTAGTGTTTATAATAAAAGAGTATAGGTGGATTTTAGTAGGGTTTATATTTTATATTTTCAAATTAAGACCCCAAATTTCAGTATCATCCCCGACATTAAATATTATTGAATTGCATACTTTATAATATCTTGTCGGTCTGCCCTAGCATTGGCCCAAAGTGTCTTCTTTGCTATTACATAAATACATTATTTATTTAAATGACAAATTTATAATATTTGTAAATAATAAAAAGAATTACATACCATGGTTGCGATGAACTTGGTAACTCAATAATCGTAATAAAAGCTCATTGTATTTTTCTAATGAATCCGCCAAAAATTCTCTATCATTAACGGTGGCATTACCATCTTGAAACCATAATTCAAGAATATCCATGGTTGAGGTTGTAATATTTTTGAATTCGTCAATAATTTTTGGGCGAAAACTTGCATTTTCGACAATATCATTTATAATTGCCCTAATATTATTGACGGGAATGCTTTCCATGTCTGCAATATATGAGGAGTGCGAAACATTTGAACCTGATGCCAAGAAATTCGCCTCATAAAGCTGGTCACGTGAATGTCTTTCACAAATCCAAACAAAATCATGGGTATCATTGCGACGGGCTTCAATAAGACGTCCAGGGAGCATATTTGTGCTGTTAAAATATTCTAAGTTTTTTTTTTTTGATTTTTAATTATAAATCTCAATAATATCAAATAATTTCATACTATAAGGAAAATTTTAATGTTTTTATATCAACCTTTCAATTCACGAAGCCCAGATGAATTAAGTATATAATAATGAGAAGCATCATCATCAAGATCAAGAACTTCAGCTTGACCATTGGCGATTGGTGGAAGTTCATTCACTATTTGGTGTATCTGATCCCCAATTTTAGCGATGTGATTTAAAAGATTTGAAGATTTTGAAACATGAAACAATTTTGTGATATGATCTATTATTTCTTGAGGGAATTTGTCATACGTGGTTCTAGCTGAAACCAGGTGGTGACTTTATAATAACAATGGTTTAGTTTGATAAAATAAGCTAGGCAACGAAAACTGCGTAAATTTTGCATACCAAAATTTAATATACGCGCCAAATTTTTTCATAAACTCGAGAGGATTTTGAATGTAATAACCCTTATGTTCATGAACATGCGGTGTAACGTGCTCGCATACAAAATATAATCGAAATGATTGTAATGTCCAGGTTCTAAAAATAACGCGAAAAATTAATTCAAAAAAAGCATACATATATAAATATAATATATTAAATAATTACTTTGAATTTTTCCAAGACGGACTGACGGGAATAACGATAAATAAACGTGGTATTTTTTCACTTCGTAACTTGAAAAGCTGTAATTGATCGACTATCACGTGATAAATAAAATGCGAATGCAATAAATATATATATCGTTAAAAAATTACCTGAGGACCAATTTTTTCCCACTCCTGTGGAATAAGACTCATGAGTTGTTTGTATTTATCCTCTTCTTCTCTGTCTAACAGAATAATCGCGTTTATTATATCTTCATTGTTATCCTCAGAATAATACACAGTTTTCTGTTGCACAGTAAATTAATAAATAAGTTCTTATATAGAAATTATCTGAATTACAAACAAACCTTGAATTGCGTTAATGTCATTCTTTGCTTTTTCGGTTTTAATAAATGATTTATAATGTCTCTTTTATTAACATTGTCAATATCATCGACGCTTACGGTGAGGGATTCCTTAGACCGAAGAAATTCTAACTTTTCTATTTTTGTTAATGGTGGACCAATCGACCATAAATCTCTCCGTTTCCAATAATGATGTCCAGTTTCCATAAAAAAAAGAACCAAACCAAAAGAAAACATATCCATTGATGGGTGAGCTTTCTTTGTTTTGCCGACAAAATCAGCTTTTGCGACTTCAGGACTACAATAATTTACGGTATTTATTGTTGTTGGGGCCGATATTTTACGTGATGTGTCGAAATCTATCAACTTCCATGTCCCAAGATTTTCAGCACCCTGATGGAATAAAACAATGTTCTTTGGTGTCAAATTTGTATGAACTGACAAACAGACGCACCAATTTTCAAATATTAAAAAAATAAAGTTTACAAAAATTAAGACACAATCAGGAACCATCTGCTTACTTATCCCCTTTTTATGGCATTGTTCCAATCCCGCGACAACATCCTACATAACACAAGTCACATGATTAATAACGAACAAGCGAAGAATAGGAGCGTAAAGCCTAATATACTTACCTTTACGATTTTTTTCTTTATTTCATCAGTATGTTGACGACTTTGAATCCAAGTCGGTTTCCGAATGTAAGTTTGTAAATCGCAAATACCATGTTCGAGGACAATAATTTTTTCCATCTCAAGAGTTTCAACCAATTGGACTATATTCTATTTACGAGCAGTAATCAAAAAATATTAAGTTGATGTCGAGATATTCAATAAGTTTTAATAAAATCTGGCTAAGCCTTTATTCTATATATCTAGTCAAAGGAGGAAAAAAACCCACATTCTCAACCTGAGCATTTTTCAAAAGGGTCAAAATGGCAACTTCATGTTTAAAGGCAGCCTCGTCTTTGAAGAATTTTAGAGCGTATTCCCGGGAATCCTTAATTCCTTTGCATACGTTGTTCGTACTTCCAGAGTACCATTCTTCAGTGATAGTATATCCATGGATTACTGCGGAAAGTAACAAACGATATTTGTTATAATAAGCAGACCATTTGGTTCGATTATGTACAAATTTCTTTTATTTCCCAGTAATATGCTGTACTATATTGCTATTACTCGTTGAAGCTATAAAATTAAGTGATAATGCGAGCATTATCTTACCTTCTTCAACCGCAGGCTGCAATAAAGGAGTGAGTGGGGGTTGTCGTAGTGATATTGAAATGTCCGCATCATTTTTCTTATGACTCTTTTTAATCCATCTAATGAATTTTCCAACCATTTTAACCATAGTTATTTTATTAATACAAACGGAAGAAAATAAAATCTATTATTGATGAAAACATCAAACACGCAAAATGACGAGGAAGAACCACCTGTGAAAATTGGTAAAAATACCAACTATATATATACATCGAAAAAATAAAAAATCAGCGTATTTATGTGATACCTGCCATAAAAAAAATGGCCCAAATTCTGCACTATAAGTGTTTAAGCCTAAGCAATCGTCAACTCGGGTGATAATCTTGTGATATATACAACATATTACTGAATTTATTGGTTTAAATTAAATTATTTAATTAAAATCATATAAACCCCACAAACCGAGTTGAGAATAAGTATCAACTTTTGAAACATGCTTTTACGTATCCGTAAATATGAAAGGAATACCATGTTTGGTTGATGTGATATAAAATTATAGAGTTGGCACAAGGTGCGGGGTAGAGATAAATGATGTGTTTGTTGTCGCCCAGAAATAATGAATATGTCTTAATGTTTAAAATGCTCTTGGCCGTCACAACAGAAATATATAAGTCCAAACAAAAAGATTACTGTGGAAGAAAAACAATGGCAATGGAAGTCAATGAATTTATAATCACATGAACTTATTGTTAGTTACCAACGTAACGGTAATGGAACATTATGAACGTTTGTTATACAAATCACAATAGTTGCATAGGCAATACGTAGAAAAAAAAAACAATCCCTAATAGAAACAGGATAGGCGATGATCTTCCATTGTACTATTCGACTCTTGAAAATCAAGATGAATAACATGAGTGCGCACCAATAACATATTGACATGCAACTCTTGTTAGATTCAATACAGGTATTGTTCTAGAAGTTATCGTAAGGTTTCTCGATTTTTCCGGACGAGCAGGTATCCAAACATTGATTCGTCAATGTTACGCAAAGCAATTATGTTTAGTAATCTTCGTGCATCGCATAATATGCATATATGCTATATCAATATATTGATTTTTGCATCTTTAATTGACCAATCAAATTGTAAAATTTGATAATTTGCTTAATTTTTACGGTGAGGCCATGCCTCTAACTTTATTGAAATTCAATTGAGGCTAAAATTTTTTTATTTTACTGTATATATTTTATTTTATTTTTTTTTTGAACAAATTGTATATATCGATATTAGTATTTTTAAATTATGTTACACTAATACAAGCCTGATTTATCCGGCACCGTCCTCGAGGTACGTAGGAATTAGTGACACAAATTGATGAAAAATTTTCAATCGATTAGTTGATAGATCATTTTATTCAACTAATCGATTGATTGGCCAGTCGATTAATCGACGAATCGATTAATCGATTAGTTGACTAATCGATTGACCAATTAATCGATTAGTTGAATACAATAATTAAATGAAACTTGGAAAATACACGTGAGGTAGTAACTGAAACAGTCGGGCTGATATTCTCATATGTAGTGATACAAATCGATGAAAAATTTCAATCGATTAGTTGATAGATCATTTGGGTCATGGTCTAGGAAAATGGGTCTTTGACGATTTTTTAAAAATTTTGAGTTGTTTGATTCAGATTAAAGTA